CGTGCCGGGCCCACGGCGGCGGCCAAGGGCAGCGCCCGCAACCAGCGGCCAGCGAGCCGCTGTCCAGGTCGAAGCCAGCCATGATGAGCCAGCCTGGAGTCGCCGTCGGAAGGGTTCCGGGCGGTCTCCACGTAGCGTCGATGCCAAATGATGCCGGCGGCCAGCTGGCACGCGGCCGCGCGGCGCGTAAGCCCGAGCAGCTCTCGATCTCGGGCTCGCCCGCGATCGAAGGCCAACGTCTCGGCGAGGTTGTCGCCAAAGGAGACCAGGTGCTTGCCGTGCGCGTCGCAGCACTCCGTCTCCCTGGTGAGTCCCAGCAGTGCCGCGCGGGCCTCCTTGCAGTGGATGGCGGCCGCCCGCTCCCAGCGCCCCACGACGCGGCGGTGCCAGCGCCTGGGGTCAGCGAAGGCGTCAGGCACACGGGGCACCAGCCCGACACGCTCCACCTGCGGCCGCTCCGCGGGGTGCTGCCGCGGGTCGCCCTGCCTGAGGATGGCGCGCTCGTCGGGTGAAGGCTCGAGCTCGCCGTCGACCCAGGCAGAGAAGTCGCCAGCCGGCCCAGCGCTGCTCGCCAGGCCGCCCCGCAGCTCCTCCCCGGAGGCGATGGCGGTCGGGTCTTCATCGATGAACCGCCATCGCTCCCGCCAGACAGTGGCATCCCACAGCTGGTGCTGGTCCGCGGCGGAGACGTGCAGCGCGTACCCCTCCGTCGAGGCGTCGCTGCAGTAGGCCCGGTCCAGCATCGGAGCGGCCAGGTCGAGGTGCACGAAGTGGACGAGGTCCCTGGCGATCCGCAGCTCGTCGACCACGTCGGCGGGCAAGGGCAGAATCTCGGTTCCGCCCGTGCCCACGAAGCGGTGGGCCGCCCCCAAGACGCTGAGGGCACACCGCCGCAGGCTGAAGTGATGCACCAGATGGCCCAAGAGGCCACGGACGCGGTTGGGCGAGAGCGCCCCCCGGTGGATGGCCTCCCCCAGGGCATACCAGGGTCGCCGACCGAGTCCTTGTCGCACCCGAGGATGTTGGCGTTGTCCACGTAGGGCGCGCAGACCGCCACTCCAGGCCGAAGAGGCGGGGGGGGCTGTCGGTCCCCGACGATGACGGGTCCCAGCCCCAGGCGCAGCTGGGCTCGGCGACAAGCCTCGGACACGGCGCTGTGGCAGAAGTAGAGCGCCCAGCTCCAGCCCATCGGCAGGCCACCGAAGCAGACCTCGAGCTCATCCGTCGCGTCGACGGGGGTGTAGCCGCTGACCTCAGGATCGTAGACCTCGGCAACGTCAACCTCGCCAGCGCGGCGAGACGCACCAAGCCCGAGGAAGTGCGAGACCGTAGGCGCCAGGAACTGGTAGAATCCGTCCTGCAGGTCGATCGACGCCCCCCAGAGCTCGGCCTCGTGAGTCGGGCTCGCCTCGACGAAGTGAGGGTCGAGGACCAGGCTCGACATGGCCGCGGTCGTGGCGAGGCGGGTGTAGGGGGCCTTGCGATGCAGCTGGTTAGTCGGCCGACAGTCCAGCACCATCCGCAGCATCCCCGTCTTCTTCGCCGCGAAGAAGATACCCGCGCGGGATACCACCCGGCGGCGATACGCGACAAGGCCGACGGAGTCGAGCTTCGAGATGAGGTCGTCCAAGAGGGCGGGCGACCTCCGCAGTCGCTCGTCCCAGTGAGGCCGCACGGGGGGCGGCCCCTCGGCCTCCGCCGGCAGCGCGATCCGGCGTGGGTCGCCCAGGTGCACCCGCGCGGTCTCGCCCACGAGCCCCGCGGCGTCCTGAGGTCGGACGTTGCCCTCCGTGACGGCGAGCAGCTCAGGCTGATAGGGGGCAACGGCCAGGGCGGCGTCACTCTCGCACAGGTCTTTCGTCTTAAGAATCTCAGAAAGGGCCCCGTCTGGGCACAAATCAGATTGTCGAGGCTGCGGCGCGGCGGCTTCTGCGGCGGTCGCGAGCCTCCTCCACGCCAGCCGCTGCGGACCCGAGAGCGGCCGACGCGGAGTCGCGTGGGAGAGCGGCCCTGGCGAGGGCACGCCCTTGGCCCGAGCTCCCGCCAAGGCGTTGAGCGCCGATGCCGCCGAAACCTGCAGTCGACGAAGCCCAGGGTCAGGAAGCAGAAGACCATCGGCGCCAGGCGACGCCGCACTGGATGAATTGGCATGTTCTGGCAGATCCAGAGGGAAAAGAGAACGTGGCCGAGGTGCCGCCATCCCAGGCGAGCCAGGCAGCAGCGAACGTGATCGTGGGAAGGCCCACGTGTCACGACTTCGTCCCGTCCTTCTTGCGCCTGTCCGTCTCCTCTGCGAGCAGTCGCTGTTGTTTGAGTGTGAACGCCTCCGTCTTCTGCTCCTCCGCGATGAACTTGGCGAGGTCGCCTGTGGCCGCCGCCGTTCCCGAGTCCGAGGTCGATGCGATCGTCATCTCGAGGCCACGGAAGTCGGGACTCTTGGGCGAGCGCCGAACAGCACGCTCGATGTACATCACCCTCCGCGCCAGCATCTCCATGCCCGCCAGGCGGTAGATCTCCAGCTGGTCGAAACACAGCGCGTGGTGGAAGATGCTGAGGAGGGAGGCGCAGTGGTGGGCGACGGCCGTGTCGGGGCCGATGCCCGAGGCCCGGACCCAGTAGTCGTGGTTGGTGCCGACCGTCTCCCCCGTCGAGCGGATCATCGCCATGAGCTCCATCGCCGCACTCGGGCCCCTGAAGGGCCAGTCGCCGTCGGAGGAACCGTTCGCAGCGGCACCCGCAGCAGACGGCACCCGCTTCTGCAGCGCCGCCATCGCCTCGCGGAACTCGATGTACCGGTGATCCTGCCCGTCCCTGACGATCGGCATCACCCGCGGGTCCCGAACCGCGCCCGACCTCTTCTCCTCCTTCCAGTCCTCGAGGTCCGCGGGCGCGACCCGCTCCAAGGCCGTCCAGCGGTCGTCGATGAGCCCCAGGGCCGTCGACCCACGCTGCACGAAGCGCGCTGGGTTCCCCGACGCGGCGGCATCGATCGGCTCCCCGAACTGGTCCGCGCCCGTGTCCGAGACCACCCAGACCGCGACACCTCGCCCCGGAGGGGCGGCCACGCCCCCGATGAGCACCGCCAGCGCCTCGCCCTGCTGCTGGAGGGCCTGCAGCTGTTCCTCGGGGAGGTCGCCGAACATGTAGATGTCGCCCCGCACCCGCGCGGGCACCTCGCACCCTCGGGCGAGGGGCACCACACGATGGTTGGCCAAGTCGAGGACCTCCACATTGTAGTCCAGGGTCGAGACGACCCACTTCGTGCCATCGCCCACCCTGTTGAGGAGCAGGCGGTGGTGCCACGTGAAGTTGTCGTCGTCCGGGAAGTCGATGGCCACCTGCGGGCTGGCGACGTCCAGGGCGAGGTCGCGAGGCCGAGCCGCCATCACTTGCGGCTACCCCGAGGTCGCCAGACCTCACTCTCTTCGGGCGTCTGAAGTCCTGACCGACTCGCTGGACTCGGAGGCCCACCAGCGCCCAGAGCAGGCAGCCCACGAACAGGAGCGACGCCCGCCACGGCCGGCGCTGCGCCGAGGGCGACTCGGCCGATAGGCGGGACGCCAAGGCTCGCCCCGCCCTCCGCCGCTGCTGCGAAGCGGCCGTTGCCCCACCAGGAGCACGCGCGGGCCGCCCACAGGAGCATCGCCGCGCCCGCAAGGGGCAGAAGCCCGAGCAGCCAGGGCCCCAGGCCGGCGCCGTGCGCCGCGGTGCAGGCCGGGCACGCCGGCACGATGACCTCCGGGCACGGAGGCGCCTCCGGGCAGGAGGCCGGAGGGCAGACCGCCGCCGGGCAGATCGGCTGCGGGCAGTGGTCCAGCTCGTGCGCGACCACGCACGGCGCCGGCTCCAGCGGCGCGGGGCGACCCGAGAGGCCACCGAGGAGCGAGCCCGCAAACCCAGCGATCGCGGCGAAAGCTGGGTGGGCGGAGCGCATCACACCTGGCTCAACCCTGAGCCTAAAACTTGAGATGGGGCCGGCTACGATCGTGACAACGATAATATGGCACACCATCAATAGCCATAACATCGAAAAGCAGGTGAGGGTGGGAACTGACGAAGGGCCCGAACCTATTAAGCTGCGTGAAGCGTCAAGTAGGCCCCTCTCTGGCCCGATCCGCGCGAGGGGTCTACCGAAATCGGCGGCTGAGCAGGATGCGAACATTCTATACGATAGTACTGCAGGTGGAGCTCCCTGCGGGGCACGATCTGCGTGAGGGAGTGGTAAGTCGAGCGGAGCCCCAACATGAACGCAACAACTGAGACCATAGGTATAGCTCCATGTGGGGCAACGAATCGTATGGGCGTTGTGCCGAAGTGGCGGGGTGATGGCAGGCAAGCTTGTCTGCTAGAGCCGTAGGTGGAGCTCCCTGTGGGAAACGAAGCGTGCGAGGGGTGTGCCGGTATAAACTGCGATCGGCATGCAAACGTTACCACTCGGGCCGAAGTGAATTCCTGTAGGGAAACGAATCGCATGAGTGTGCCGACATGGGGAAGGGCAAGAGGAGGACAATAAGGAGGGGGAGGCGGGAAGGAATGGAGAAGACGCGTGGCGCTGCGTCTTCAGAGCGTGGACCCAACTCCACATGATGGTGCGGAACCCCTGGAAGCCAAATGGTGATGAGAAAGCGTGAGTACAAAAATACGGCGAGGAAAATGCCGCACAACCGAATACTTACAGGAGCCTGGCACGACATCACAATCGCACAGCAGGAATCTCTATACATCCAACATGGCAACCGAAAACCGCAACGGAAACCATGATTTGACGTAGACAATCAGCACCAACCTGAACATGAACACGCATACAGATATTGTAATCTTTTTTACAGCAAGTATGCAAACCGTACATCTTAGATGCACAATCGAGACCTTGACATCGTTGTCCCCCAGGCTGCGCCATGGTCTTGCAAATTGCGTGGTAGCGCCGGCCAGGCGCTCTTGATGTGAACCCCGATGCAGCAACCATCCAGATCAGTACACGACTGCATGTCTCAACCACGCTATGCTCCACAGGAGATCGCACAGATCGCATTATCGAACCCATCGGACACAAGAAGCTGTGGCCCTCGGAGGCCTATTGTTGAAACATACATTCGGAGGCCTGACACGGCCCACACCACCTGCATGTCACTACTGGCGGCCCAGGAAACCAACGCGAGCAAGCCTTGCCTGCTCACTGCAAGCATCCTGCAGGCGTCCAGGAGCTGCACAGACACCACATCTGCAGGACCTCTCTGGCGGCCCCTCGTCAATGATATTGACACGACGCTGGGACTGCCGTCCCGAACTCGGGCGGCCCACACTCGGCCATCAGTTGTACCACCAGCTAGGGTGAAGCTGTCCAGATCAAGGAAACGATTCGGAAAATGATGCCTGATCGACGCGTGCTCCCAAAACGATACCGCGGTGTGGCATGCCAGGCTTGAAACGTCCCAGCGTATTTCCACATCTTCTGTTTCGAACAGATCCGGTTGGCCCCTTCCTTCAAAGCACAAGGAGAACCCACATACTTGCGAACCCGTGCTCGCAAAGAGACGAATCTCTGGAGCGATACCTGCACAAAGATGTGCCCGCGGCGACTCTATAATCTTCAGTGAGCGACAAGGCCCATCCATTCTGACCGTTCTCAACACTCGGAAGGGCGATAACGAATGCAAGCACAGACAGCAATCCATGGAGACCGAAATCCCATAATTAGAGAAGGCCGAGTCTGCCGGGAAAAGAGAAACAGCTCGAACAGTGTCTCTGTGATGATTCGAAGTACCTAATAATGCACCGTCTCTACGCCTCCAAAGCTTAACAGATGAATCAGAAGCTGGTCGATTGTAGTACCCAGGATCACCACTTCCAGACAAGACGTGCTCCTGGTTTAGGTCAACGCACACTACCTCATCATTGTGGCGACCCTGGAAGGGCGCTCCGATGGTTTCGGTGGACCAATCCAATGGCTGCAATCTTCCATCGTACTCGCCCGCGACTAACGTACGCCCATCAGACGCCCAAGACCGTACAAAGCTTTGGAAAATCAGTTTGTGACGGGTAGAAAGATTCTGATCCTCGCGACACCAGCAACGATTCGACTCCTCCGTATTCTTCGCTGCCATGATAAACGCCTGCCTCCAGCATCCTTTTGCAATGCTGTCTGGACAAGTTGAACACCGGAATGAATAGCAACGCTTCCAAGACTCATCATCACACCGAACATGTTCAAAACATGCAGGACTGGCTGCGCTGACAGCAACCAAGGCGTCCAATCCTAAAAGACCTGTCAAGCATTCCCACACCTCTGGAAGAGCGAGGGCTCCACTCGGATCTGCCATCATTGCCATCTGTCCGGTTCGATATCCTAGCCAGTACTCTATAGTGTAGAACCGACTTGCTACGGACTTGAGCTGGTCCTTGACTATGTTACTGAGGCCGTCCCCCTCCCATCCCTTGTAACAAGCGATTCGCGCTGGCGCCGTCTGGGAATTGCCAAGGGGGGGTCGCTCCCAGACGGCCAAGAAACAGATCGTGACATTGCTGGCCTCCTTCCAACTGGACGCGGCCAATCTGACCCCTTCCGTGACAAGGTCCCTCCGTGACGAGCCCCCTCCGCGACGAAACCCCTCGCCTCGAGGCTCCCCTCCGACCGCGTGCCCACGCCTCGGAGCGAGGCGAGGGGGTCGTCACGAAGGGGTTGGTCTGCTGGGGGGTCGGGCCGCTCCTGCCCCCCTCCCTACCCACCCCCCTGGCGAAGCCCTTGCATCGCCAGAGAATTTCAGAAACAAGTAACACAAATGCATCGGCCCCCAATTAGATGCTCATTCAGGGGAACTTCCTGGAGCCACCCGCTCCACTGGTGCGTCGATGCTGCGTCGAACATCCGTCGACCTGAGTCGAACTTGCGTCGAAACTGAGTTGAACATGAGTGAAACCTGAGTCGAACTAGAGTCGAACTGGAGTCGAACAGCTCCGCCAGGTGGGCCAAATGAAGGTCCCCCAAACAAGCATCTAAGCTGAGGGGCAACCTTAGGTTGGGACCAATTCAGAGGGGAAGCATCGACGTGGATTCGGCGATGCATCGCTGATAGCCAATTATCCGATAGGCCCGCGCGAATCCGCACGTTCCTCGGCGGGGTGGGCTATCAGGCCCCGATCGGCGATCAATGGGCGATTGAGAGCCGAAGCATCCCCCCCTGAGCCTCTCCCCCTCCCCCTGACGCTGCCTCAGAAAACCCCAGGGCTCGACCACGCCATCCCCAAGGAGGCACGGGAAGAAGGCTGTGGGAGAGGCGGCCGCTGGGGGTCTGAGCCTGCAGGGCCTTGAGAAAATCGGTCAAGAGGGCGGGGGTGAAGGCAAATGCACTCAAGGTCGGTCCCGGGACACCTCCCGGGGTCCATCTGGTGCAATCTTTCACCTCAGATCTGCTTCCCGACAGCGGCCCCCAGAGGCCGAAAGAGGCAAAAGACTTCTTCGAACCCAGCACCTCGGACCTCGCCCCGCCTTTCCGCTTGCTGGGACCAATGCTGGGCCACCCCAGACCAGCCAGCTCCAAGCGGGAGGGGCGCATTCTAAGAAGTTGCCTGCGCATTCGGGAAAGGTCTAAATAAAGGAGTTCTCAGAAGGCCCGAGGCCTTCCTAAAGAAGGCCTTCCCCCTCTGCATTCCCCTCCGGGGCTCGCCGCCGAAAGGAAGCACAGGAAGAAGGCCGCGGGAGGTCGGCGACTCCGAAGGTCGTGGTTTGCAAAGAGTGTGATTTGCAACCGGCACCCTGGGGGGCACCCTGGGGGACGGGCGAGGACCTCAACAGAGCTCCCCGCCGGCGAGGACAGTGTCGTGCCCACCAGGCCCCAACGGCGCCGATCGCCAACCACACCCCGGCGTAACCGTACCCGAGCCGGTCGGCCGAGAGGGGCGGCCGAGAGACCCGGTCGGACGGGCCTCCCAGAGACCCGGTCCACGGCCATCTCTGTCCACGGCGCGGGCCTTCCGAGAGCTCTCGGGCCCCCCCGTGCCCCCCCGTGTTGCGGTGGCTCCGGGGGCCGAGAGCGGCCCCATGCGGAGGCCGAGATCGTGGATCCCACCTCCCAGACCCCCTCGAGCCATGAAGAAGACACGACGGCAAAGGTGTTTCGCTATTGTCGGCCTCCGGGGGGGCCCTGGCCGGGCCCCGGGACCTTTCAAAAACGCCTCGGGATGAAAAACAGGTCCCGGGGAACGGGTCGAGACCTCTGGGGGTCGACGTGGTGAAAAGATCATGACGTCGGGGGTCTGGGATTTCAGCGTATGTAGCTGTGAAAGACGATCGTCAAACGCCAAAACGTACTCGATTGCCCTGGCCGGAACAAAGAAAAAGCGCCAGCGCCGAGGTGGCAGTGCGACGTCGGAGGTCTGAGGTCGAGGGGGGGAGCGCTCCCCAGACCTCGTCTCGGGGCGGACGAAGCTCTGAGATCCGACGTCAAGGAAAAGACAAATCGTAAGAGACCATGCCTGAAGCCCTGGACCCCATCATTCTGCCGCATTTTCCAAGCCAGATCGATCCGTAAGGGCCCCTGGACCCGAAACATAGTAAAATCCCAACGGCAAAAATGCAGCGCCAGGATCTCACGGAAGAGGGTGATAGCAAAGTAGGGGCGGGCGAGCCAACTGCATGCAGCTGGCTTCCTGCCGCCCCCGGCCTCCAGCCGCCATGCATCGAGGCAAACGCCTGGCGGCGGAGCCGAAACCAGCTGCACGCAGCAGATGTTGCAAGCCCCCCTTTCCAAAAATTCTCCCCGCTGTCCTCCACCCCAGTACTCCTTCGAGCGGCTTTCAGGCCACAGTGTAAAGCGGGCAATCCTCCTCCGAAAGGATCCCGGGTGGTTTAGAAAATTGTCGGCCTCCAGGAGCCCTCGCTGGGCCCGGGGACCGTCAAAAAGGTGCTCTGGATGAATAACCAATGCCGCGGAAGGAATCCAGACCTCTGGGGAGCCATGTTGTGAGAAAAAACACAACGGCGGATGTCTGGGGCCGCCACCGCCGCCGTCGTCGCCGCCGCCGCCTTCATCGCCTGCGTCGTCATCGTCGTCGTCGTCGTCGTCCTGGTCGTCGTCGCCGTCGCCGATCCACCGGTCGAATTGATCGATCGACGGTTGGGGGACTCTCCACCAGCCCTTTAGGGCGTAGATGGTTGAGCGCGCTTCCTTTCCCAACCCTCTTCTTACCCTTCGGGGAGGGGTTCACCCCTACCCGGGTCTGAACGGAGGAGGCGGCGACCAGTCAGAGGGCCCAAGACAGCCCAAGATGGCTCCAAGAGGGCCCCAGATAGCCCAAGATGGCATCCGCCCCCAAGAGGCCAAAGTCCATCCAACAACTTAGGGAAATCAGTGTGTTTCTGCCTGCTCATTGTTTTTCGTGACTGATGGCCGTCCGAGGCCTCCAGACGGCTCCAAGAGTGCCCCCAGACGGCCCCAAGAGCGCCCAAGAGCGCCCGAAGGGGGCGCCAAGAGGCGACCTTTCGAGTTCCAGAGAGGGGGCCTGATTGCGGATCGACGTCCTCCAAGATGATCAAATGGTCCCAAGAAGGCCCCCGGGTTCCCAAAAAGGCCCCAAGATGCCTATAAGAGGCCCCCCAGCGGCCACCAAGACGCCCCCAAGACGCCCCAAGAGGCCCCTACGAGGCTCAAGACGCCTTGAGAGGCCACCAGGAGCGCCCCAGGAGACATTCATTCCAAGCGACTCCGAGAGGCATCCAAGAGGCTTCTAGTTCAATCTGGTTTCCCGAAGTATCCAAATAACGCCACGCGCCCCTCAGGGCAGCTACCCCAAGTTCCTGAACGGATGGTGGGATGGCCAACATGCCACAAGTTGTTTGATTTGTTTGTTTCTCGCTGGCCTCTCCTTGAGATTGGGACTCTTCCTTCCTCAACCTCGAGGCGCCGTGAACATGAAACATGATATCAAACACAACGCAAACAAATAGAAACGCATGGTGACGAGAACTCGAGGAACACCCCGGACCCTCCAGAAGATGGTTCTTACGATTGCGTGTAACGGTCGTTACCTGGGAGGGCCTTGGGCCCCGGGTAACGATAACGCTTGGGCGGGGTGGGGCACGTCGGGGCGGGAGTGTGCTGCGATCGCCATGATATGCGCGCGAGCACCAGCATGTGGGGGGTCCGGGGCCCCCCCCCATACGCACGATCGTTACTGTTACCCGGGGGGCGGAGGGGGGGGCGGGTAACGACCGTTACGCGCCAGATGATAAGAAACGATGCTCAAAAAAACGGCGTCAACGACGACGATGACGTCCCCTGAGATCCAAGCGCCGCAGTCTTCAGGCCCCGACCGTCGATCGACCGACTCGCCCGGTGGATCGACCACGACGACGACGACGGCGACAACGGCGACGACGACGACGACGACGACGACGACGACGACAACGACAACGGCGGTGGCGGCGGCGACGACGACGACGATGGCGGCGGCAGAAGCGGCGCGGCGACGGCGGCGACGGCAACGACGACGGCAGCGACGACGGCCTCAGACATCCACCATTGCGGTTGATTCGTAACGTGGCTCCCCAGAGACCTGACCCCTTCCCCCAGAACAACTTTGCGTCCCCGAGTCGTTTTCTGACGTTCCCGGGGCCGCTGAGGGCCACTGGAGACCAAAAACTGTCAGCAACAAAAACCAGACGTACAGCGATGATCTTTCCGCAACGAAAGCTGTCGGGCCATAACAAAGGTCCCCCGCGGTCGTTCGAAACGACTCGGGCACCCTCAGACGCCCTCAGCGAGGCGCAGCGGACGGAAGCCACCCTTGGTCCCCCAAACTCTCCGAAACCCCCGAACACTTCCGAAAGAGAGCGCCGCCCCTCCTCCCAACTGGCAGGGGCCAACAGCCCAGCGAGAGGATGTCAGGCCAACACGGCGGCGGCGCCGCCGCGGTGGTCCTGGCGCTCCGCCCGCGCCATGGTCACCTGCCGCGAGAGCACGGCCTGCGCCAGCGAGGGCACTGGGCAGCCCACGTCCATGGCCACCTGCTGCTGCTCCCGGGGGGGGGGGGGAGAAGGAGGAGGAGGAGGAGGAGGAGGAGGAGGAGGAGGAGGAGGAGGAGGAGGAGGAGGGAGGAAGAGGAAGAGAAGGAGAGAATGCTGGGATAATGCTGAAGGGTGCCAGTCAGCAGCGAGGCCACAGCTGGACAGTTACACCCCCCTCGGGGGGCAGATATCGATAGTCATCTATCTCCAAGACTTGGTTTTCAAAAATGACTTGCTCACACTCGAACCTGCCTCCACTCGGAGGCGCCCCGCTCCCTGCTCATTGGGCCATTTGTTGCCCTTAGGGGGGAGTCCCTTGCGCAACAGACTGAGATAATTCTCTCCCGATGGGGGTGGTCCATTCACGGCACGGCTGTGCCGAGGGCAAGAGTCTCCCCCCCGTCATTCACGGTGCCCAGACTAGCGCACTTCCAACAGCACACCTGTCCGTTGCGCATGGCCACGCATTGGGCGGGGTGAACGTGCCCACTCGCCGTTCGCAACTCCGTGGTCACAGGGCGGGGAACAAGCACAACATTCTCACTCTCGCTCAGATGCCGCTGGGTGGGGTCTCCTTTACAGCGGTGAACTTCGAGCCCGAGCCAATCGATCAGAGACGTCCCGGGAGGCGGCCCTTGGCGGCACCGACGACACACCCACGCCCCGTTGGCCAACCTCCCGAGGTTGTGGCCCGACTCACGCTCAAGCTCGACTGCTCGCCTAGAAGCAGCCCCCCCCCCTCCCCCCCTCCCCCCTCGGGAGTCCGTGCGCACTGGTCGCGGTCCTGCGCCGCGTACTCTGTCCACCGCGGCCAGGCGCTGCTGAGCGAGGGTGACCGTAGCGTCCGCGACACCTAGGGCCTTGACCTCACTTCTGATGACAGCACTCGCCTCCTCCGCCCCTCGCTGGGCAAAGGCGTCAGCAAGTTCATTCCCTCGAGAGACGAGGGGGGATTGGGAGCAACGGAGATGGGACAGGGCATTGAGGTGGGAGTCGCATTTTCGGAGGGTGACGACCCCTGGTCGGGCTCTGGCGGCGGCTCTCACTCTCTGCCGCCAGCCCTTGAGCGCTCCGCGGGGGTCGTCGACTCGGCCCCCCTGCCGCCCGCCAAAAACCGCCTGATTATCAGCGTATATCACAATACCCCCTGTCGTGAGCTGCAAGCACCACCACAAGGCTGCTAGCTCAGCCGCAGGGGCGGTCTGGCGGCCGTCAACACCCCCGTAGCACCCTGGGAGGGGAAGGGAGGGGTCGGAGGCCTCGGGAGCGGGGGGCCGCGCGGTCCCAGCTGGAGGTACACGCCCCGCCCCACGCGAGCAGCTCGAGGGTCAGACGACGTGCCAGAGCCGCCCAACAATCCGCTTCCTGAAGCATGTCTTTCTTATGCATACGCTTGACACTCAAGCGCAACATGGTGAGGTCACCCCCATCCTGCAGGCAAGCTCCTTCACTGCGCTGGGCTGCCTGCTTCCACAGCTGCTGCATGACAGACTGGGCCAGAGCACTACATATTTCTTCGGCACCATCGGACAGGTCGGGGTCGAAACGCCAGTCGCAACCGTCGGGGTCCTCCCAAACATCTGGTTCGACCCCGAACCATCCCAGGGACCGAAGGGTGAGCGGCATGACCCCCATGGGCCCTGTCACTGCTCGCCATCCCGCACGGGGCTTTAAACGGGCTCGTTGAAAAAAAGGCGGCCGACCATCCCGCCAAACCTGCTGCCTGAGGGAGGGGTCGCGGGCCCAAAAGTGCAGCCACTCTTTGGCCTGTCGCTTCACGCACGCGGCCCACGGGCCCCCCTCCTCATACATCAGGAGCATGACCGTAGCCGTGCATCGGCCTTTCTTCCCGAAACCAGCGAGGTCCGCAGCCATGGCTCTTGGCTTTCGGACTCGGGCCGGGGGGGTGCCAAAACAGAAGACTATCATAGGACATCTTAGCCCGAACATAAGCATTACATCGTAAGTTACTGTTCTTTCTTCGCGTACGCCCCAAACAAGCGAACAAACCAGTTCTGGTGGCCCGAATTTTGCCCAACCTACACCGTTTCGAAGCCGTTTTCCTGGATCTGCGTTGGCCCATGGTGTTGTCGGTCATCTCCTTCCCCTTCTTGATGGTTACGTTGAGCTCTGCCAGGGACCTCTCAACCTCTAGGGCGTCGTGGGGTTCTGGGCCAGGATTGTGGACTTGCCGGAGATCTTGCGCCTCGCCTTGAGACAGCCTCCAACCAGAACGCTCGCTGCTCTCGACACCGCTGCTCCTACCACATCGTCGGGCCCCTCGACTCTCACCGTAATGTCATCGACGAACTGCCTCAACCTCGCTATCGGAACAGCAAGGTGTACTTCTTCTAATACGTGGTAGAGTAGGGTTCGAGCTCCATGGTTGGCCTTGCCACAGCCAGGGACCATGCCGTTATGTGGAATAATCAAATCACTGAAGATCTTCTGGGCCTTGACGAGTCGAGGGCACAGGTGTGCCATTATGCACATGTACAGCTCGACTGGAGGGTATTCTAGTTCCGAGGCTCGTACAGCTAATGTCCCCAAGTCCACGGGATCACAGAACTTCTACAAGTCCTGGAAGAACGTAGCTTGGCTAGCTTCGTCGAGATTGGCTCTAGTTTCGCCGAGGACCAATGTGAGCAAGGCTCGCTGCAACGCCGAACTCTTTCTCACCGCAACATCCAAACGAAAACCGCTGTTCGGTCACACCATTCCGTTAGTCTGTTGTTCATGGTCATCGGCATCAGCCCTGTGGGCCGCTCTTCTCCCGCTATCTGTGTTTCTCCTTTCGGGGGCAACGCATACCACATCTGCATGATCTGATGCGGCCAGGACAGCTGCCGCTCGCACATGTTCAGTATGAGGAGGGAGGACTCCTTGCACATCGGGCTGAGTGCTCGGAGTTGGTCGGGAGCCCACTGGTCTGCGCCGAGCCCCGTGCCTGCCTGGAAGCTGCTCAACGCCATCTCCATGCTCTCCATCGTGAGGTAGGGCCGCTCGACGAGGTCGTCCTTGGCCTTGGATTTCAGGTCGCTCATGGCCTTCGCGAGCTCCTCCGTGACAAACTCCTTGTGCGCTGTCCATCGTCGCTCCCATTGTCGCCGTCGGAATTGGATGCCGCGCTGCGGGTCCATCTCCCGTTTCATCGTGTCAGGGTCCAGGCTGCCGTCGCTGGTGATGATCGTTTCTTCTGAGTTCAAGTATCGATGTGCTCCTTTCATCGAGTTGTCTGACGCCTTTTTTGGCCCACGATCGGACCTGGGCACGAGTGTCGCGCCCCACCAGGGTGGCATGGCGAGCGGCCCCTTGGTATACCTCGGCGATGAGTTCGGCCTGCTCCGACACCACGTTCTGCTGCTCGCTGGTGTAGCTGAGGGGCCCACCTGGCACACTGGGGAGACTGGTTGGCCTCTCTCTGGGGCTCAGGGCGGGCTCTCTGCATCTACTCGACAGGCTAGGTGGCCTGGCGTGCGTCCCTCTGGTCGATCTCGTCGAATCGCTCGTTCTGCTCCGACTGCTCGTTCTGCAGCTTGCTGATGTAGCAGAGGGGCCCACCTGGCACAGTCCTCGGCTCCGTCTCGTTGGTCATACGGTCGCTGCGGGTGACAGACGCGAGGGGCTCACCTAGCACTGTCCTCGCCGTGAGGGGCCCACAGGAGGGAGGAGGAAAGAGGAGGAGGAGGAGGAGAACGGGGAGGGGAGGAGGAGGGGGAGCAGAGAGGACCAGTGCAAACCAAAGTTGCATAAAAGATGTTGCAACAAACCCTCCCTACAAGTTCGCTATTCATAGGACCCTGCAAAGAACATTTTTTTTCCAGACTCGGGCGGGCAACGCCGCGCTCGCGCCGCGGTGGTTTGAACAACTCGTGGGGAGAGACGGCCTTCGAGGGCCTCCTCAGACACGGCAAAACTAACGCAACACTGGACGCGCCACTCGGGGGCCACGAGGGGGGGGCGCATAGCCCAGGGGGGAGAGCACTGCACCCCAGGGCGCCGACGATCTCACGACCACGCACCCCGGGGCGCCGACGATCTCACGACCCTGCAGAGAACATGGCTGCATTGCGGGGAGTACCCCCTTGGAGAACAGTCGTCTGAGAATCAGGTATCGCACCAAAGCGCCATTCCTGTAACTTCAAAGTCGCGAAACAACCTGACGCTTGCGTCATGACAAGCCTACCTCGCACCGTAATACCGTTTGTGGCACGTCAGCACCGTGAATCAACATGGCTGTTGCGTCCTGACAATCGCGAATCGTACCAAAACACAACTCCGCAGATTTCAGCCATACGAATCCTTGAAACTGTTCCAAACTTGTACCATGAGTGCGCGCGGCGATACGGCGATAATCACATTTTGACCAGGAACTGGCCTCCATCCTTGAAGCTGCGTCAAGCTTTCAAGACGAATGTACGCGGCGCTAAAACGATGAAAGCCAGCCGCCCTCCATCCCTGAACAGATGGCCAGCTTTTGAACTTAATGTGCGCGGCGCTAAGGCGAGAGCCACCTTTCGAAAACAAGCCGCCCTCGATCTTTGAAACAGTCGCAACGTCAAGCTGCAGGATCGCAAATGTCAAGGATGTCTCAAGCGAAACGCTCGGCCCGCCCTACGGACACGTCCGGCGGGGCGACGAGGAAGAGCTGTTTGTAAGGAAACAGGATGGAGGAGCAGGGAGGATTGCAGGAAGGGAGCCAGGAGGAGAATGAGGAGGAGGAAGATGAGGAGGAGTTGGAGAGGGAGGAGGAGAGGAGGCAGAGAAGACAGCGGAGGGGAGGAGGGAAGAGAAGATCAAGGATCGATGACCAAGCATCAAGGATCGAGGTTGCAGACTTGTCAAATGTGTGTTTTGCCCTTGGAGCTTCACCTGCGGTCTTAGCGGGAGCAGACGCATGGCGACCCCGCGCCAACTTCGGCACACCCCTCGCGAGGATCGTGGCGTGAAGGGTGGGTCCACCTGCGGTCTCAGAAGGACGGCGATCCCGCGCCCATCTC